CCACATACTTAGTGAATCTGTGCACCATATCACCAGTTGTACTTTCAGAGTTCTCATCATTTTGGAGGCTGGGAGGCAGCCTGTGGTTACAGTTCCGCACTTCTTCTAGAACAGCCTGTACCCATTTGGGGTTCGCAGATTTCTGAACTGTAGCTCTCATCACCCATTACCACTGGACACACAGCCTGGGTTTGATAGAGGTTGTAGTTCAATATCTAGGCTTGGGGACATGCTCTAGGGTGTGGAACTAGTTGCCGACTAGAATAAGGTTACCATATTTTTTTCAATGAATCCGGGGACACTTTTCAACTTCAATGGATTTTGTATGGAGACTGATTTGTAAATCTGGGGACTGTCCCCAGGAAACGGGGACATCTGGTAATCTTAGACTAGAACTCAGCTATACAGCTCAAAATAAAATGCTTTGAATGTGTTGTAAAGTGCAATACACAATAGCGACACTAGATGGATGACAGTGAGCTATGCAAAATTCAATGTGTTTTTCAAAATGTTTTTTTAAAACAGGCATTTTCACAGCGTTTTTTATATGTGTGTAGATTTTATTCCAAAGTTAGAATGCTGTTATCATTGGCCTAGGTCAGTGTTGGCCAAACTTGGGTCTCCAGCTGTTTTTGGACTACAACTCCCATCATCCCTAGCTAGCAGGACCAGTGGTCAGGGGTGATGGGGATGCTGGAGAACCAAGTTTGGCCAACACTGTCCTAGGTATAAATGCCACTGGAGAGATATTACACAGGGACCTATTACCAGTTCCGTTATATAATTGTACAGGCTCCCACAGTGCAGTTGATCAATGAGGTATGATCCAGACATTAAGCACTTTTGATGCCCATCGATTATGATGAAAATATGCAGAACATACATTATTTTCCATTGAAGTAGTCAAACTTAAATGTGCTCAATTTTGGCTGGATTGTACCCATTGCTAGAGAGTATTGGTGAGCTATAGCAAATTCAATGCATTTTTCAAAACGATTTTTTTTTAAAAAAGCACATTTTTACAATGTTTTTAACATGTGTGTAGATTCCACCTAGGGTAGGCAAACTTACTGCCCTGGACAGAAATCACTGGAATTCTTTAATTCCAATGGCATGGCAGCACATCTTGTGGGAGTTGCATGGGTGGGAGCTGGGCAATAGCTCAGCCCCAGGTGATGCAGACCCTGGGACTTCCAGCTAGGAGGCAAACTCTTTGAAGAACCCCTGTGCATCCTTTTCCCCCAATGAAACATCAATTCCCTTAACAGAAATATACAAGAAAACAACCGGAGCTACTGAGCTACAGTCATATCTGTGCATGTTTAATACCAAACCCTAGAATTTGAAATGGCTAATTAAAGACATTAGCAAATGTCAATACAGCAATATTTTAATGACTTCAAGATAATCCCACAGCAATCAATTTAAATCAAAATGAGTTTATTGTAAAGTGCCAAAGGTGGAGAAAATGCTTCCTTTGCACTACAAAGTACGGATTTCTGAAATGAATAATGCCTGTTCAGAATTTAACTAGATAATTACTTCATTTGCATTTGGTAAAGCGATAAGAGGAATGGAAAACGACAGCTCAGTGGGAAATGATGTTAAGCGTTAATAGATGACATGCACAAGACAGCAGTATTCAAACTTTTGTCATTTTTAACAGGGCTCAATTTGAAAGAAATACATTTATTAACCTCAGTGCCCCAATAGGGGAGAAACAATGAAGAATAAAGGTATAACAAATGAAGGAGTAGCTCATGCCATGCCTGGATTCAGCATACTATTCAGATCCTGAGGAAATATGACATGTAAGCCTCGTCAGACTTTACCACAATTTGTCTGGTTCAGTTCACACAAAAAATATTATGTCGTGGACTGTGACAGCATGGGCTATAGCCTACACCGAGAGAGGGAAGGGAACAAGCAAACAGCCAAACGAACACCACCATCTTGTTAAATTGATATCTTCCCCCCACCTTTGGCCTCCACTAATCACCTCTTTAAATTTTGTGACTGTAACTGTCCCAACCTCCTCCTTGTATTAAAAGTATACTAACAGGTAGACTAGGTAGAGTGGGATAGAAATTAAGCAAGGGGTGAATAACAAGGGCCCATTTTTCCCCCAAACCAAACTGTCAGTTCAGTTAAGGTTTTGTTTTAGTTAAACAGTCTTTGATAATATAATTTTGGAGGGGGGGGGAATCACACTACGGTTTGAGTAAAAGATAAAGGGACCCCTGACCATTAGGTCCAGTCGTGGCTGACTCTGGGTTGAAGCGCTCATCTTGCTTTATTGGCTAAGGGAGCCGGCGTACAGCTTCCGGGTCATGTGGCCAGCATGACTAAGCCACTTCTGAGCAGCGCACGGAAAATGCCGTTTACCTTCCCACCAGTGTGGTACCTATTTATCTACTTGCAGTTGACGTGCTTTCCAACTGCTAGGTTGGCAGGAGGAGGGACCGAGCAACGGGAGCTCACCCCATCACGGGGATTCGAACCGCCAACCTTCTGATCAGCAAGTCCTAGGCTCTGTGGTTTAACCCACAGCGCCACCTGCATCCCCTCGCAGTTTGAGTAGTTACCCATAATAACCAATAGCAACAACAGAACCCCGGTGATAAACACACCCAGCTAAATCTATTCTAAACTGTTTCCCTAACCAAGCTAATACTTGTCAACTTGCATCCCTTGGTTCAGCGTCTGAGTCTTCTCCTAGTTTTGGGTGTAGTGCCCAACAGTACTGTCTTAACCCTTTCTATTATCCCAGCGCTCTTAAAGTGTTTCAGCCCTTTTTCTCGCTAGTAGTGCTTTGCCTCAAAAAATTCCTGGCCCCTTATTTTCTACCTTGGCATATATAATTCACTGCCCTCTCACAACTTTTTAGCCTTCCAGTTGTTGCTGAATTGCAAGGCTCGTCAGTCCCATCAAACATGACCAATGGCCAGGGATTATGGGAGTTGTAGTTCAGCGGCCTCTGGAGGGCCAACAGTTCCCCATGCCTGTGTTAGCCAATCAGAAAGAGAGTGGAGTTTTGATTAAATTTCTGTTTCCCTTGAATCGCTAGGATCCTAGGCTGAACTTTTGACTTTCCTTTGCACAGCCACCCCCTGACGGCAAACACACACTATAAGGAAAGATACTGGCATCTGCCAACTGAAGACAATACTATTCAGATGAGCCCTGGTAGTGCTCCCCTTCTGTTGGATTATGTCTCCCACCTTTTTATTCTAAAACTGAATCTTGAATATATCCAGGGTGGTTTTTTTTCAGGGGGAACTCATAGGAACTCAGTTCTGGCACCTTTCAGATGAGCTCTGGCACCTCTCAGGTGGGCACCGTGGCCATTCTAAGAGAACAACGATGGTGTCCATGGTGAGTTCTGGAACCTCATTTTTTCTAGAAAAATAGCACTGAATATATCCTTTTGAACTGTGCTGAGAATGCTGCTTTCCTACTAATAATTGCAACCAGTCTCTGAACCTCAAATGGCGCCTCACTTCTCTCTCTCTCTCTCTCTCTCTCTCTCTCTCAATGCTGGGCAGAGGAAGCAATTTCTATACTTCTACTTTTTATTAGGTTTTCCAATTGGCTATATATTGGGAGTGGTATATGGTACAAATCCCAACTTTAAAGGGGCAGTTCCATGGCTCTAGAAAAAATTATGAACTAATTTAAATAACATAATCCTAGAAAAGGGAGAGGAGAACCAGGATGAAAAGTTAAAGGAAGTGAAGAAAGGAGGAATTTGCTTAGTTTATTTCTTTCACAATCTTTACAGAAACGCAGTCCTGTTTCACCTCTCGATTTTTTTATTTTTTTTTTAAGAGGGGTGGGTGGGAGGGAAACAAATGAGAAATGTCTACCACCAAGTTGAGGCTAACTTCCTGATAAGGCTTTTGTAAAGGAAATTTGATTCTCAGAACTCCACTGGAATTCTTTCAGTGCGTCAGCAAAATAAAAGAACTGCTGAGACAATTTACTTTGCTGGAACTCTCCCCCCCCCCTCCACCGCCAAGTCAGAGTTCCAAATATAAGAAATGACTAAGGGAATTATATACCCTCAGTGAGAGATTAAAATAAATGCTACCATGAAACGGAAGGTGATGGATAAGGGTACCACCCATGGGCACTGCAATCTGCAGGCAATTTGAGGCCACTCGGATAAAACTCTGCCTAAAAATCTTGAACAGTCAGTACCATTCTGAGCCAGTGTAGCGGTATCATGGCTTGTGAGACAATGAATAAAGAGAAGCAACCAGTCATTTCAAATCACTGGGTGCCCATAGGCTGCTCACAAACTCTTACTCTGATGGACTCACAGGCTTGTTGTGAGGTTGAAATCGTGGGAGAGGGAACAACGGTATATGCTGTTTCCTCCTCGTGGGAGGAATGGCAAGATATAATTCAAGCAAAAAATACCCCAAATAAATAGCAATGTCGCATGAAGATATTTAGAATGGTTTGGAGGTCATCCTCTGAGTGTGCACACAATACGTTGTCATCAGCATACTGAAGCTCTATGACGGAAGTTATGGTAACCTTACTCTTTGCCTTCAGCCTACTCAGATTAAAGAGCTTTCCAACTGTTCAATATATGATTTCTACTCCGGTGGGGAATGTCCCTTTGACAAAGTGTAGGATCATGGTGATGAAAATAATAAATATGAGTTGGGATGATGACACAACCCTGTTTAACACCTGATCCCACTATGAATGGTTCACTTTGAGAGCCATTGTTATCTGTGATTGTTGCTGTCATATTATCATGGAGGAGTCGAAGGATGTTCAAAAATTTATCTGGGCAGTCAATTTTCAGAAGGACAGTCCGCAGGGCATTACTATTTACAGTGTCAAAGGCCTTAGTTAGGTTGAACAGCCCAAAGTCCTTGCACCAATGGAATGAATGTGTTGAATACCAACCAGTCCTTTTCTTAAGGTGCCTCTGCCTGATTTGGGGGCTGCTCCCATGCTACATCCCACCTTCTGGGTCCAACCCAATGCATCTTTCTAGTGATGAAGCTACAGGTGAGTCATTGCCATTATCTAAGATACAAGTGGTTATGGAACAGTTTCTTAGACTGCTATTGATATGCTACTGATTAGATTTTTTTTTTTTTAAGGGGGCTGGCCCAGTATGTTTATGAAACCATAAAATTGGTTTGATTGGGAGGTATACATAATAAATGAGGATGAAGCTGATGCCAGCAAAATTGTCCACAGTTGACTGATACATAATTAGAGAAAGTGTCAGAGCAGAGTATGACTGACCCTCATCATGCATTTTAATTATGGTCTTTAATTGCCTTTTTGAATCCTATAAAAACCAGTGGCCCACGTCTCTTTACCAGCCGCACCGATTGAGCCAGCATTTATCACCTGTAAAAGAGTAGAGGTCGCTTTGTCTTTTAGCAGAGGTTCCCAGAATATATTCATCCCTTCCTATTAGACAACTAAAACTACAAAGCCTACAATGTGTTGTTTTTGAAAGGAGCTCATTTGGATGACAGCATTCTTGGGGAATTTTCACCTGCTTAACAGAACAGCGTGAAGAGAAAGTACAAAGGAAATATTTTTAATTCTTTGTTTTTGGAGATCTTGTGCTGAAAACTTAATAGCTGGTAAAGGCCATAATTAAAAGAGGACTCCAGTTGTTTTCTAAGCCCCTTCAAAGCCACAATTTTAATGGCTCCTGCACCCCCTTCCAGAGATCTGTTGTTGCAGATACTCAAGGGAGTTAATTCTGTGATGCTAAAGATGCAAGTTAAATTGTGACAATTCAAAGGGCCCCCTAGAGTACTATACATCCACGACAGAGGTAATCTAACATTCATTAGGCAAGAGGAAGGCAATAATTATTTCCTTTTTAACAGAGGGGGGATCAATGTATCCATATGGGTTAGATTACCTGCATCCAAAGGAAATGGAAGCTGTTCTTTTATTTCCTAGCAATTAAAATCTTTGTTGTCAATCTCCAATAATGGAGCTGGTCTAAGATCAGAGAGCTGGCCAGACTGCCTTTGCAAAGTCTGCCATTGGTGAAGATTTAGAATTCTGATTTTGAAACACTTCCATTTCCTCTGAAGGTATCAAATTTAACTGCAGCACTATAGGAGTGTACAGGCATTTCCTTGAACATGCAAACTATATCCATGGATGAGGGGTGGGGGCAGAGATGTGCACACAAGCCTTGCCCCCAAACCACTGTCTGCTTCAGTCACTGATAACGCAAGGTCGCTGATTGTGTAAGGTGTTATACTTGCATTCACGTGAACACGAGCAAAAGCTCCCTGTAAGCTTTCTCCATTGAACACAGGGAAGGGCGGGGATTTAGCAGATGGAGTTATGTGCATGGAGATATTAGGGGTGGACTTTCTGGCAAATCCCTGCTTCCTCTTCACAGGTTGAGACAAATGCTAAGCAACATCTTATGAACGGCTGTCTCACCAGAGTGGAGCATGCTCTAGTTATCTCCCACTTGGACTACTGTAATGCGCTCTACGTGGGGCTACCTTTGAAGGTGACCTGGAAACTACTACTAATCCAGAATGCGGCAGCAAGATTGGTGACTGGGAGTGGCCACCAAGACAATATAACATCAGTCCTGAAAGACCTACATTGGCTCCCAGTATGTTTCCAAGTACAATTCAAAGTCTTGGTGCTGGCCTTTAAAGCCCTAAATGGCTTTGGCCCAGTATACCTGAAGGAGCACCTCCACCTCCATCGTTCAGCCCAGACACTGAGGTCCAGCACCGAGGGCCTTCTGGAGGTTCCCTCAGTGAGAGAAGTGAGGTTACAGGGAACCAGGCAGAGGGCCTTATTGGTAGTGACCCCCACCCTGTGGAATGCCCTCCCTTCAGAAATGATATTTTGTAAAAGTTGTGGGTGAAGGTCCCCCCCCCCCGTTAATAATTTGGTCTGAAATTTGTTTTGCTGTTCGAAAACAGGAGATAACGGTGAGCATTTAATTTTTATAAAGTAGTGATTCTAACAAAACAGAACAAATAAAGTGAAATATGGAGCTGTATTCAACTAATTTTTACTCAGACCCACTGAAATTAATGGACCTATGTTAATTTCAGTGGATGGTATTCAATGATAGTCCTACTCAGAGTACAATCACTGAAGATAATGGACATGATGAAAGGAGCGATGGGAAGTTGACATAAAATACAGGACTGGAACTACTGAAGGCTGAGTTGGCCTAAGCCTATAATAATAATAGTAATAAATAATAATAATAATAATAATAATAATAATAATAATAATTATTTGCATCATGCCCATCTGGGTGGCCTCCAACATATATAAAAAAGCGTAGAGAGAAACAAGCCTTTAAAATAGAGTTTTTCTTACACTACACTTTTTGATGGTGTAAGTTTCAATAGGTTGCCAGATCACATGACTGAGTTGAATGGAATTAGGATCCAGTGTTAGTCTCTCCTGACCAGTCCGGCCTCCACCACTCCCTAGGAAATTCCATTTCTCAGGGCACTCAAAATAACCCAGCTAAACTCAGAACTTGCTGACTAAGTCAGATATCCACCACATCCTATCATACTCATTCCAGTGGATGGTTAGGATTATGGCCTAAATTTGATTCATCAATTTCAATGGATCCACTCTGAGTCAGACTTAGCTGAACACAACCAAATGAATCTATTTTAAGCAACAGTTAGTTGAAACACTACAGAAACACTGTGTGTTTAAAAGCTAAATCTATGGATGAGTTTACGCAGGCTGTATAAAAATAGAGTATAATGGAAAATTAATTACAAAACACCTTGAACTAAATGCCTGAGCTATGAAGCTATAAATTAAAGTTGTAATAGTTCACAGTGAGTGGAGGCTACCAAAACCTGTAAAACAAACAAAACGTTTTATTCTTATAATTATGGAGTGAAAAAATAGCTGCAGATTGTTGTTCCTCAAACATGTGGTTTTAATTCCATGTTGTGTACCAATACAAAAAGCGGGTCAGGAAACAGAATAAGGAAACAATCAAGCCCAAAATTAAGCAGCTTAATGTCTCAGCGCTTTCAATGGAAAAGTGATGGTGAACATCACTTAATTTTCTGTTGAGATCAATGAATGATGGTTGCCAGATAGATTTGTGTGTGCATATGTGGAAGAAGTTGAAAATATTTAAGTTATTCTTTATCCTGTCTAGTCTGCTATGTACTTTGTAATAACAGATAAATGGTTATTTTCCCCAGGATTATTTAAACATGATCATGGTGATTGTGATCCCCTAATCTTCAACATCAACTTCGTTGGACTGGTCATGTTGTGCGTCTTCCAAAGCAACTACTCTCTTCCGAACTTAAAAAAATGGAAAGCGTAATGCTGGTGGTCAACAAAAGAGGTTTAAAGACTGTCTCAAGGGAAATCTAAAAAAATGTAGTATAAACACCAACAATTGGGAAATGCCTGCGAGCACTCCAGTTAGAGAACAGACTTTACCAAAGGTGTCATGGGCTTTGAAGACACTCAAACTCAGGATACAAGGGAGAAACGTACCAAGAGGAAGCCAGGCTTGGTAAATCCACACCGTGATCAGCTCCTGCCCAGAAACCAATGTCCCCACTGCGGAAGTACGTGTGGTTCCAAAATTGGCCTCCACCGTCACTTACGGACTCATTGTTAAAACTGTGTTTATGTAAGGCAATCTTACACAGCTACAAGTGATCGCCAAAGAAGAAGAAAGAATTGCAGCAGAGTCTTCAGTGGGAAGAGTGGAATACGTCAGATAGGTATCACACGAGCCAGGATCTTCTTAGTGTTGATCCCAGTTTGAACTTTGTCCCAAGTGATTTACTGTGAGTGATGGCCTTATCAGTATAAGCTTTGAAACCATCCTTTAAAAAACATTTATTTAGTGCTGGTTCCATCCCCCCCCCCCCCCCGCACACACACTCTTAAAGGCTTTATCACACTCTTGGGCTGAAGCTGTTTTTAAGCTGTCAATTATAACTAGTTAATCAGCATGGTGTATTCTTGGGCTGCTAATCGTTTTTAGGCTGCCTTTTTAAATGAGCACTTTCAATTAAAAATGATATTATTTTATGTTTGTTTATGTAAGCTGCCTTTTGGAAATTTTACTCCAAAAGGCAGCCTAGATATACTTAGTTAAATAAAGTACATGGGTATCTGCCCTGCAACAAATACTCTTTTGTGAGAAATTGGTGTCCATAACAGTTGAGGAAATTTCTATCTCATATGACAGATGTCCTTCTACTTGTTATACCCTAACAAGTCCTCCATCATTATAAACTTTAATAAGGGGGCCCAAACTTCAGAGCAGGTTGACAGAAATGAAGATGATCTTTTCTTTAGGACTTAAAGATTTTAATAATATTTGTAGACAAGGGCAGGGAAACTTCCAAGGTTCTTGAGATTGATGTGGGACAGCTTCAATACACCATTCTTCACTGTTGGAGGAGTCCAAGGGCAAATGTAAACTTTAAAGTCAATGAATTTCACCTACTGCAACTCATACCACTTTGAATTGTGTGGGCTTCAGAAGGCTAACAGCAGCATACATTGCTGCATCCAATTTGCCACTGAGAAACCAGGTAACTGTTGTTTGTCTGGTTGTGCAGGACACACTACAGAAACAGATTACAGTGGTACCTCGGGTTAAGTACTTAATTCATTCTGGAGGTCCGTTCTTAACCTGAAACTGTTCTTAACCTGAAGCACCACTTTAGCTAATGGGGCCTCCTGCTGCTGCCATGCTGCTGGAGCATGATTTCTGTTCTGATCCTGAAGCAAAGTTCTTAACCCGAGGTAATATTTCTGGGTTAGCAGAGTCTGTAACCTGAAGCGTATGTAACCCAAGGTTCCACACACTGTCTTGACCACTGATTCCATTTTTATTGTGAAGTTTGGTCATGTATAATAATGTGTAGGCTGAGGACACCATGCATCCCACCATAAGAACTTAGGCCAAATTTGATATTTCCCACTTCTCTCTCTCTCTCTTTCTTTCTTTCTTTCTTTCTTTCTTTCTTTCTTTCTTTCTTTCTTTCTTTTACATTTGATTAACAGATAATAACCAGTAACAGAAGTCAATAAAAAGGGGGAAATATGTTGAGGAAAGTACAGATTCCAATTTATACAATAGGCATCATGAAAATTCCCAGTTACATTACAATCCATAAGGAGCTGAGAGATGACTGGAATAAAGCTAAAGGCTATAATTCAGGTGAGAGGAAATGTTGGCTCTCCAGATGATGCAAAACTACAACCCCTTGCTGCAATGCCTGAAAAAGGCTGAAATCATCTATGCATCAAATGAATCAAATTATCGTGTGTGTGTGTGTGTGTGTGTGTGTGTGTGTGTTTGTTTGAATTTGTGGCCCCCAGTTTGGGTATTTGATCATGAGCCGACATGATCAGGATTTTTAGAGTGAAACATCAAAAAGGGTAAAATCCCATAATCCCTCTATTGACAAGTAACAGTCACTTTCCCATGACACCTCCATTTCACAGGACAATTTGGAAGTTGTGATGGCCAAACGCAACCACACATTACTTTCTGGGACTCAGCATTCACTTCAGCCAGCCGCTGAAAACCTTCCCTCAGCCAAACTGTTTCTCTCATAGAGAGGAAATTTCTCCAAACATCTCCCATTAAACCCTTCTCTCCCAGATTGTCAGACATTTTACATCTAGTATTTTCTATATTTATGAAATAAATGTATAGGAATCATACATGCTGGTTTTCTTTTGTTTGATTCTCATCGGTATTAGTCCTAAGAATGATGGTATCTGAAATGAAAGATGGCTTCTCATATGTCTACCCCTAGATCTGCCTGTATCACTAGGCCAAACTTGGCATACTTGAAAACACCTGCTCTAGCTGCAAACAAGCTAATATTTTAACAGCTGCTCTAGCCTGATTTGGTTAGTTCAGCATATCTGTACAGCTGGAAGAAGGCCACCCTTCTGCACTGGTAATCACAGTTTCTGGCTGCTCCGACTGAGGGTCACACAACTATTAATTTGTCTCCTGTGATAAGGAGAAAAGAGGAAACTCAGTACTTTAATATTTTCTCCTTGCGAGTGAGTTCCCCTCCCCACCCTGAGATTGTAACAAGAATTTTATTTCCCTTTTACCAGCATTCCCATTCTGCCTGCAACTTTGCAAAGCAACGTTAGTGCCTTTTCATCTCTCTTTCTTTTGCAAACCTATTGGAAGAAAAGAGAAAAATAAAATATAAACCTTGGCAGCTGACATTAACAATAAGAATGTTTCATCAGGTAAAAGGTAAAGGACCCCTGGAAGGTTAAGTCCAGTCAAAGGCGACTATGGGGTTACAGCGCTCTTCTTGCTTTCAGGCCGAGGGAGCCGCCGTTTGTCCACAGACAGCTTTCCAGGTCATGTGGCTAGCATGACTAAACCGCTTCTGGCACAACAGGACACTGTGACGGAAACCAGAGTGCACAGAAACACCGTTTACCTTCCCGCCGCAGCGGTACCTATTTATCTACTTGGACTGGCTTGCTTTCGAACTGCTAGGTTGGCAGGAGCTGGGACAGAGCAATGGGAGCTCACCCCGTCGCGGGGATTTGAACCACTAACCTTCTGATTGGCAAGCCCAAGATGCTCAGTGGTTTAGACCACAGTGTCATCCATCCAAGATGGCTGGGATGACAGCAAGGTCAGGGCTGCATGGATGCATTAGTGGGAGTGCAGGTTTGGTTCCACTGGAGGAGCCACACCGTTCCAAATTCACCACCGCTCTGGCTTCCATTGTTGTGATAAGTGGCTGCAACATCACTGTCAGGAGGGGGAGGGGCAGCATGGCACGACCTCAATATGCCTGCTAGGTTGGCAGGAGCTGGGAGAGAGCAACTGGAGCTCACTCCATCATGGGGATTTGAACCACCAATCTTCTGATCAGCAAGCTCAAGGGGCTCAGTGATTTAGACCATAGCGCCACCCGCGTCCCAATAAGGTTCCATCAATCCCTATTTAAACATATAGATTGATATACACAGTCCATATGACCAGTCACAAACCATTTCAAGGGTCCTTCCTGCTTTAGTCATCCTGACCCTCAGAGATTTCACTTCACTTCTTTAAGGTTTCAGATTGGAATTCGGGATGCTTCCACATATGATGCACCTCATTAGAAAAATCCACCAACGTATATTAAGGTGGCAATTTATACATTGCCAAAAAATGCCTAATTGAAAAAGAGGACAAAAAGGACGCATAAAGAGTGATCTCCTGATATTCTTATTGGTTTGACAGTTACCTGAGATATCACTATAAATGTCAAATATAGTATGTGGAATGGATGTACCCCGTTTGAAGGAGACTAACTAGTCAAAAAGTATTTTCTCAATTGACTGCCAAATACTTGCCACATGTTTCAAGTGTTGATTAAGCATTTATGGAACTACTTCTTCAAAGAAGACCGCCTGTTGCCAATATCGCTGTCTTTTCAGCAGCAATTTAAGACTTGTAACTAAAAAGAAATCCAGATTTGTTGATGTGTTGCTGTTTTAACATACTGTGATACATTATATCTTAGCTTTATTTTTCTATTTCATTTCGAATAACCCTGAAAGTACAGCTAAATCTACATTTTTAAAAAACAACAACAACAACAACAACCAGTAACTACAATTCAGGCCAATAGGATGGAAGAGAAGTTTGATTCAGTACACATTGAAGCAGAATCTATCAAATCCCCACTTTCAAAAGTGAAATAAAACAAAGCTATGCTTTGAAATTCTGACTTTTCCAAATGTTGTGATGTAGCTCTCCAATGAAGGAAAAGCCATGAATATGCATACATTGGGGGAAGTGTGCATGAAAATGAAGATATTGGTGAAAATTGCATTACAAAGGCATTATAGTAGGTAAAATCGTTTTCAAAAATGCAAATTTTAAAATTTTAAGCAGGGGAATGGAGAATCCTCTCAGTTTGATGGTGAAGGTGATGGGGGGGGGGGAGCCCTGGCCAGATGATTTTTTTCCCTCTTTTCTTTTTTGCAAGGATTCTGAACAAGCGAGGGGTAGGGTTCTTTCCTGTGCTTCCCCCTTCCCTTCTCTCTCTTCCCTTTCCTCCCTTCCTCCCTCCAGTGGCAAATGTGAGCTTCGGGCTGTACTCTCTGCAGAAAGAGTTCTGTGGATCAGAACCACTGACCACCAGCGTGGTTAAAAGGCAAAGAGACGGCTTGCAGTGCTGCATCCAAACAACGCTTCTTGCTGTAGAGGAAACATGCAAGGAGGGGCTGGATCTCCTGCTGCCTTTCCCTTCCTCCCAAAAGGAAGGGAGACCACCATCAGCCATCCAGCACTGGAGAGAGTGGCCATGGGGCGCAGGGGGCTCTGCCAATGTAAAGAGCTTTGCAGAGCCCACGATCCTCCAGAGTCGTCACTGGTTCAGAGGGAGGTTAAACCCAAAGCGTTCAGTCCCCTTCCCTTTTGCAAAGATCTGCTTGGTGAAATGGAAGAGCACATGTTGCCAAACCACCAGTGGCGACAGAAAAACAACAACAACAACACCCAGACATTTTGATGGGGTTGCCAAAGTGAAAAAATGTTGAGTTTTTCATGCAAAAATCCCTCCCCCCAAATTTGAAGTTTTTGGAGCTTTTTAAAAGGAAATTCACCAAAAATTAAACACTTCCAGGAACGGTTTGCATACATCTGGGTTTTCCGGACATTTTAGCCATTTCCAAAAATCCTGCCCAGACACTATTTGCAACGGATGAATCCCAGACATGTCTGGGGAAACCGGGACATTTGGCAGCCCTAACCTTGCCACCTTGGGTGACCCTGCTTGGCGTATGGGACTATTGATGACTTCGCTCACAAGGATCATAGGAATGTGCAAACCCACTCACTATGACAAGGTGATGATCCCATGAGTGAGATTTGAGTCTGAACTACACAGCAGCAAACAAAACGTTTTAAATGTGTTGTAAAGTGTGATATACAAATGTGACACTAGATGGCGAGAGTGAGCTATGCAAGATTCAATGTATTTTTCAAAACATTTTTTAAAAAATTATTTTCACAGTGTTTTTTTTATGTGTATTGATTCCACCTTGGAGTGGACCCCTAACTTGGCTGAGAAAGAGAGAGGAGAGGGAGAGGGAGGGAGGGAGGGAGAGAGAGAGAAGACCTGAAATACAGAACAAAACTGCATCAATACAAGTTGTAACATTTTACATTGAAATACGGGGCAATCCTGTATTATACAGGACAGGTAGCAACTCTAGGTGGAATACAAATTAATAGAATAGAATAGCTAAGAATAGAATATACTGCAAGCTAGAGTTTTCCTAGTCTGAGAGGGAGGTGAAAGTCTGGGCTGTATTTCCGGGCACAATTAATTCATTGTGCCTGAATCCAGCACAAAACTACTATTAGTAGTACTAGCACCATCAAAATCGTTTGGTGAATACCAACAGCACCATGAACTTAATTTAATTTAATTGTATATATTAACATGTGATTGATGCTTTGATCTGTTAACCTTTAGATTTCCAGCCCATTCAAAAGTGCCCCTTTCTAGAAAGATCACATCAACTGAGTTTTCACCATCTCAGGATGCGCCCCAAACTCCAAGGTAAATGCAGCCAATTAACTCAAGCTGCCAAAAAACAGAGAATGAAATGCTCACACAGATATATCTCCCATCTAGATGCTTTAAAAATTACAGTCTGTTCTGAAGAAACCCAAGTGCTTGCAAGTTCCCTGACCTCCATTATGTGCAGAGGTGAAAAAGTCCAGAGAAGAAAACAAATCTATAATCATAGCCAGAAACCTTATGTTTATTCATAAATGGCAGCACTTGGTGAATTCTCATTAACCGCACTCATTACTCATTAGGTGATGATCCCTGGGTCCTTAGGTTGAAGAGTGCTTTGAACTGTTTCTTCCCCTGTTTTTAATTAATCTTTGGGTGGGTAAATTCGGTAATTTCATTTAATGTGACTGGTTATGAAGCCAAGAAAGAAAGCAGGCTAGTTTAGGCAATGAAAGTTTGTGCAGGCAATAAGAGCTTTTTGGAGAACCTGCGATGTGGA